CTTTTAGATCGAATGTTTTTCAAGAATTTGTGCAACTTTTTCTTGCTCTTTTAAGCATCGGAAACGTTGTATCAACAACGGAAGAAATACAGTAAGTGAACTCTAAGTTTGAAAAGAACCAGCAGAATCTACGTGTAAACTTCCAGCCAATCCCAGTGGAGACCCTTGGAGAGGCAACACGTCGTCACGGGCTGCTAGTTAAAAAGTGAGTGTAAACTCTTAACAACAGGGTTATATCTATGAAATCTATTGTAATATGTTAGTTTTTAAGCTAAAGTGTTAATCTACTGAGTTTACATCCGGCGTAAACGATTGAATGAGGTGAAAACTGGCTGAAAAGGAAGTTGGTGGTGGGCGTGCCTTCTACAACTGTTGCTTCGTAGATGCCAAATCACGAATTTTTGGGGTCAAATAAGTTCAAGATAAGAAGCAAACACTTGTGTATGGAGATTTGAACGTCCGCACCAATGCATTTTCACTTGTAGAAGCCTCTTTGGAAAGTTAAAATGATATTACTGGGATGAGAAGAGTAAAAAGGACCATAAAAGGTGGGATCGAGTACCGTTGTAGTGGTCTGTGTGGGGGAGGTGGTGTAGGTTAGAACATATTTATAATTAGAAGAAGCACCTCCCTCAGTCTGAACAGCTGCGAACCTAACGTTCTCTCATACAAATAGCAGGAGGTGTTGTATTGTTCCATCTTGTCAGTTGTGTGCATGTGTGTTGGGGTCAGAGCGTGGGTGGAGAAAGCACTTGTTGCACACCTGGACGATCCGAGACAGGTAAGGTGTGGGGGGTGCCCCCTACCTGTCATTCACACGAGATAACTGATTATTATGGTGAACGTGGGAATTATATTGTTTGACTGTGTGTTTCATAGACGTAAAACATGCTTTTTGTGAGAAACATACAATTTTAGTGAGAGGGCCAATATAGGCTATGGTTAAAATTTGAGTGTTGGTATTGCAGATTAGTGTTTTGTATAGTTATCATAGAATTTTGGGTAATTTTGTTGAAGTATTCAGTGTCATTCCATTTTATATTATACTGATTTGAATTATTTAAGGATATTAGGTAGCTGCTATTTTCTTGTTTATGTAGTGCCTCATGTTTTGAAAGAAACAGCATGGGGATTTTTTTCTTTTGTTAATTTTATTGGGCAGATAAAATTCAATATTTCTCTGATAGAGTAGGAAAAGTATTGTTTTGAGGTTGGTGTCATAATCTTGGTTGGAAGAATTACATTTCTTGTGACCAATTTTAGGTTTTAGGTTCAAATAGCATATATCTGATCATATACATACACATTATAAAATCTTGAAGTTTCAGAATGATCCAGACACATCATTAATAAACTTATCAAAACTATAGACAAAACATTTATTAATGTGTTGAAATGCTGACAGTGACAATATGCCCCTGAACAGAGAATTTCAGTTCATTACCCTCAATTCATTACAAGTGTTTGATGTTATCTGGAACTAAAAGCAAAGCTAGAACATTTGGTGATAAACCAATCAAATGATCACTTCATCCAGTGATGACATTACATATACAAGTACAGGCAGCCCTCACTTTATGTCTGCAATACTTTCTGTGAAACAGGATATTCTTCAGATCAGATGTTCTGCAAATATCATTATATATTGTTATATGAAATATACAGCAGTATTGCATTAGGAGGTCATGATGCATTTCATGGTAATCATTTAAAAGAAAATTAAACTGTAAAACAACACAGCCCACAGGAGTTGCAAAGTAATAGATATTGAATGCTGTTGTCAGATATCTCAAATGTATGTGCGGAGAAAGGTTTTGCAGGGAATGCCTGAACAGTCGTACACATCCACACACATGTACACACATGCACGTATATACTTACGCTTACATGTGCATGCATCTACACACTTATATGCACACCCGCACTTGCACTCATACTTGAATTTATACTTACTAAATATGCTTTTATGGTATTTAGCTACGGTTATATTTTGCAGTGTTTTATATAATAATATGTAAACATTTACAAATTGAGCATCGGAAGCTTATATTTGACATGATTAATTTGCTTAATATTTCCAGTAACCAATTGATTTTATGAATTAATAGCAAACATTGTTTACTATCTAAGAATTTGCATAATACATTGAATGATTGTGTTTAAAGTATAGAGAATATTATTGGAAAGAATGACAATTAGTACATATATAAATTAACTTCAAATAGTTAAATGTAGTAAAACTTCCATACACATTTTTGCTTATATTTTTGCCTGAATGATAATAAGTCTTCTCTTTCTTTGTAGAAGACATTGTAAGCTAAAATAATATCTTGAAATAGCATGATTTCAGTAAGAAAACACACCTCATAGTCGTTTTCTACTAACATCCATTGCCAATACATTTACGTAACACTTGTAAGCTACTTCATTTAAGCTTGCAGAACTTCATAGTTTAAGGATAAACAATATGGAATGAATTGTCCTTGTTATGTTTTCATAGTAAATAGTTACTTTGTCATCCTTAAGTACAGAAACAGTAAGTAAAGAGAGAATACAAAATAATCCAAATTTAATACCTTAGATTTCTTTATTGTGAACATGTATAGCTCTTAAACAGAATTAATTGCATTGCCATTGAGTATAGACTTCAAAATTCATTTCATTTGTGTAAAAGATACATTTTACACAAATGATATGTACGTTTAAAGTAATTTATGTTATATCAAATTACTGATTTCAAGCATACATTGTGGGTTTTCAATTTTATGTAAGTGCTAGAATTGATAGGTTTGACAAAGTAATGGTTACTAGATGTCTAATATTGATGTCCCTGTAAATATTATACTCAGAAGGCGTGATTATCCTGTAGTTGTACATGTTAGAATGCATGTAGAGTAAAGATAGAAAAAATAGTTCAGCGAGAGCACTTTTTTAAAGTGATTTGATAACCCCAAGTCCATCAAAATGCTACAAAAGAAAATGTACATAATTAGATGCTTCCTACAAATGTGAAGTTAGTCCTTTGATTTCTTTAAATAGCTTATGGTATAAGCACATCTCCAATAGCACAAAATTACAGCGCCGATATAAACAGTCTTGAGTGTCTTGGTAGTTTGCAAACTCTGAATGTTAGAAGTATGTTTATTATGCTAGTCATGATTATATTTAATATCCTGAAAACTGCCTGTAAAGATTTTACACTATAAGATCCATAACTAGGCAGAATTTCCCAAATGCACTTGTATGTATGTAATCCTCATGATGTATCATACCTTAGGGAATTATTTGAAAATAAGTAAAGATTATTCTTTCAGTATATGAATATATAATTTGTTCCCATTGTGGTATCATCACAATAGCCAAATATCATTACCTACTTTTATAGGTGTAATAAATTTTAGTAGAGTTTGACTTATCAAGAATCATAATTCATAAAAAGAACTGTTAATTCCAAGCATTTAGAATTTGTATAATGTATATCTTGTGGTTAGCTGCAGATTTCAATTATAAAAGTATATTAAATTCTGGAAATAATTAGACTTGGGTGATCACTTAACAGGTATAACCTAGGGTATCTGGTAAGATTTCTAGTGTGTATATGTGTGTTCAATTTGCAGATGTATATTATATAGCTATATATATAGTATATTATGTACATAATGTATTATATATATAATAACTGTTAATGATAACAAATTTACATATATGGTGGTTCTAAATAATAAATCTCTTGCAGATAAATAACAAGAAATGGGTTCTGGAGAAGGCAGTGGTGTAGGAGGTGGTGCAGGTGCTGGTGCTGGTGCAGGAGGCTCAACAGGAACCACAGGGTCAGGGGGGACGCTATGGCTTGTCATCTGGCTCCTCTTGCTGGTTTTCGCTGCACTCTGGGTTGCCGGGTTCTGCGCATGGTGGTACATCATGCTCATCCCCTTCACAGTGTGCTTGCCACCATTAGCGGTAAGTCATGCTTTACTTTTTTCCCTACCAGCAAGTTAAAATATTAGAAAAATGTAAGCAGACCTTTGTAAAAATTTTCATGTTTAAGATTTTATTGATGGTATGTAAAATTTTTCTTATACACTGACATCAGCTTATAATTTTTGAATAGATTAATATTTTTTATAAACTATCTTACTTCAGAATCATGAAATGTAAAGATTACCTGAGAATGTCAGTAGTGAAGATTTTTTTTCCTTTTAAGTAGATGCACAAATGAAAGGGGTTGAGCTCATCTCCCTTTTTTTTTCTTTCTTTTTCCCCTTTCCTTTCCTTTGTAAAGATTTTGAAAAATAAATTTGATATTCTGGTGACCACATTTTGAAATGTAAAGCTCATAATGTTATCTCATCAATATATAGAATGTTATAGAGTATCTTATTAGATGTAGTTTTATAACTACCCCAGTTGCAATTGCGGGAGTGCAAAAATTTATGACATTATAAGTCAAAAGTACTGTCATTTTTAAGCTAATAACTACAGCTGTAACTGCAATGCACTGTATTTCTTAAATGGATTTAAGAAAATTCTTCAAAAATCTTATATAGATATATGTCTTTCATAATTCAAAACATTTTCTTGATTTGTTTTATCTTTTTCATTTGTATCATGAAGATGGCCAGATTTCATAACCTAGTAACCACAGAAAAAAAGCAGCTTCCCTACTAATGCAAGATTGTCATTGTACATTGGCAGAGTGCCCATTTATGCCCAGCACATTTGCTATGTCACACTACTATGGGGGCACCTAATTATTCATAGCTCAGGCTTGTAAACAACTGTTTAATAAGATTGAAAGTTTCCCTTCAAATAACATGCCTGAATCAAATTCTGACACCAAGCAATTGATACCAATACTAGGCTATCATAAAAAGACAAGCTCTCTGACAAGCTCATATTACGAGCTATATCTTGATGGAGTGCCATCTGCAATTTGGTCTACTGCATCATAGTATAATGCCATCTCTGAACAATGGGTTAATTACACAATTGTTTGGTTAGATAATCATATATTAACATAAATAGAAAAAAGGTGAAAGGCAGTTATAAAAATGCATTCTGTAACTCTCAATCTTTCCCTTTCTTGCCATTTTGTATGCAAAGTATCTATTCTATATTTTCATACATCTTTAATGAAAAGAAAAATAAATTCAAATGCACTTCTGTATCGCAAAAGGGTGTGCTACAATGAAGATGTATTTGAAAAGTGTAGCTTTTTATGAAAAATCCATATTAAATGTTTCTTTTTAATTCAGAGAAACTAGGGACTGTAGAAATTAAGAAAAACTTGTGTAATGGTCATAAATAACACATAGGTATTCAGTATATGAAATAATGTTCCCCAAAGTAATTGCTTATCAGTCTGTGGATCTCCATGAAATAGTGTTGTAGCTTTGGCATATTGTTCTGGAATGGCCAACAAATCTCTGCCATGTATATTCTGGCAGCATAGAGCCAGTAGATCTCCCTGGTGATACATTTTCAAATAAAAATTCAGTCTAAGCTCTATCTGTCAGAATGTATGAGGTGGTTCTGTTAGCTTTTGCTGGAATGCAAAGGGCTGATGCCATAGCATTACTTGATATAGTCATATTGTAAATGATTACTTGAATTAAAACTTTTAGAGCATTTTCATAGGAAATGTGAAAACTTGAATATTGTCCTAAATGGGAATAAATTAATACAACACATAAGTAGTGTTGAGTAATTTCAGATTTCCAGATTTCAAGAATATATGTTAACTTGGTATAGGTAGTTCATACAAAGTTAAAAGATAGTATGTAAAAGTATCCAAAAGGCCAGACCAAGCTCATTTAGGCTTTTCCAAAGGAAATGTTCCCTTAATGATGGCAATTATTACAGATCTCAAATTCACACATTATGTTAATATGCTGTACATATATGAAGATAATCTAGATTTTACTTGATAATAAAAAAAAAAAAAAAAAAAAAAAAATATATATATATATATAAATATATATATATATATATATATATATATATATATATATATATATATATATATATATATATATTAATATTGTATGTATGTATGTATGTATGTATATATGTAAAGTTTATTAGTATATTACCTGCATATGTTGTATTCACCGTGGCATACATGTTTATTTTTTTCAAGTTTGCTGGTCATGTGCAAACAGTAGTATTTTTTTTCTTTGGTTGTAAGGGGAATGTCCAGAGAACATGCAAGCAGCAGGAAATGGTGGGCTGGTCAGTTCCATTCCCTAGCAGACTCGAGCTTTCACTCATAAATTAATTAAAGGGAAGGGCCTGGTAGGTGAATGTAAGACCTTGCATTTGCAAAGTCAGTGCTCTGTCACTAAGATATACCAGTTCTGAATAATCATGTAGTTGCCCAAGAATATGAAAGGTTATCAGTTATGACTTGTACCTTATTTTATGTGCTAAGAATCACTTATCTCAAGAAAATATCTATAACATATGTATTTTTTTCCACAGGCTGTCACTGATGTTTTGCTTCGTGGAACACAGCTGACGTATTTCTGTGCCAAGAACATGATGGACCGCAACAACTTCAATGAAGCAATGGCAAATGCTGCCACCACTGTTCCTCCCACAGTTCTTGTTGTACAGAGCTAGACTTTGGTATTGAAAGAGCAATATTTTTTTTATATATATAAGTATTTCCTCAAGTTCTGTGTTCCACAAACTGAAAATAACTTTTAATACACATTTCGTATACAAAGGTACGAATGGCAGGGTGTAGTAGTTCCATGTGATTATATATAAAACAGGATATTGCACTATAAATCTTCCTCCATCGGATGGATGCCATGAAAAAATACATTTCAGTGAAAGGGAAGACCAAGTTTTAATGAGATTATATGATAACTTTCCTTGGTGCCAAATTTACAGACTTGTTTGATAATTTCTGGTCGAGCTGGAATACAGCCTAGAGGAGTACTTACTAGTTTTTTTTGACAATCTCTATATCTCATAAATTATTGCTCAGTATTTCATGTTCAATTCAAAAATTTGCTTTCTGATGTACATGCATTTATTTTCAGAAGTTTGTAAACTGTTTTCTTGCCTTTTCAATGCTACTCAGAGTTTGATTTAGTCACTAAGCTATTTCTAATTTTCATATGCAGTCCTTTATGAATGTTATGTACAGGAGAATAGATGTTGCATTTTTGTTAAAAGCTATAGTGTTGTTAATAATTCTTATATTAATTTTTTGCAGTAGATGTCCTGCAACTGAAAGAAATGCTTCAGTCTTCCAATTGCTTCTAGAAATTTCACACTGAATCTTTTGTAATACCTAATATTGTTGATTATTAAAAGTCTATTTTGGTTAATACTTAGACAAGTCAGAAGTTTGTAGAGAAGTTTAAATATCTTGTTATGAATTTTTCTTGACTATTGAAGACAGTGAAAATCATTGAAAAGGAAAATCACAATAATATAGAAAGAAATGAATGGTGTATTTCTATGAACAAATGGTCAAATATAAATACATTTTTATTTTTTTTTTTTTTTCTTCATATCCATGTTTTCTAAAACCATGCAAAATAATTTACAATTTATTGCTTGAAGCAAATACCAACCTTGTAACAAAATATTGTTTGAAGTTTTTGGATACCATGTTGCATAAATAAATGGTATTTCTCTACTACACAATATGTTAATTGAAGCCGCATATTGGTACTTTCAACATTTCGATCTTAAAAGGTCAAATATGATTTTATATACGTTTAAGGATCTGAAAGTTTTGCATATAATTGTTTCAATTTGGTATTTTAGGTAAAGATATGAATCGCATATTATTTGGAGACAATTTTCTACTTCAGAAAAAAAAAGAAACTTTTTCTTTCATTTAATTAGTCAGATGCCGTTATTATAGTAAGAGGATAATTTACAGGGAATTTACCTCTATTATTATTGTCATATTGAAGAAATTTCACAAAGCAAAATGCATCTTCCGAGTTAAAAGTCATACTTGTAATCACGTATCACTTTTTATACCTAGTATGTAGTTTGATTCTACTAACTAAGTAATTACAGAATATTTACGTGCCCATTTAGGTTATTTAATTTATTGTTTGTTAAATTTCAATCTCGCTTAAAAACAGGCCAATGTTTTGTAATTTACCTTGTAATTGAAGGCACAAATCAATCGGAAAGAGGCTTTTCTTTGGGTTGCCATATAAAGTATGGAGAAAGTGTCTAGGGGAAAGAAAATGCTGTTTCTATTTTTTTTCTGTTAAACATTGTTCCTAACTATGATGCACAAGTGTACTATAGTTTGAATTATACTAATAAGTGTTACCCAACATTGCTACACAAGTTATAATGAAGCCCCATTTATGAGAATGAACTTGTGTACTTTTTTTATGTGCATATAACCATGTGCATCATCCTTTATAATTTTACAGGTGTTGAAATAAGAGATTGACCAGGTCCATGTATTTCAATGCACAAACTTAAGATTGCGTTATATTTCAAATAAGGCAAAAGCCTGAAAGTGTTGCTAATTTTTTTGATTTAAAAATAAACTCAAAAGCCAAACTAATATTTCATGTCCACCTACAAAATATGAAAAAGATTGTTATTTCATGTTTGCAATTAGTATCTGAGTATAATCAAGGGAGTCCTGCAAATATGTGAATTTTCTTGATCTTTCTATTCATTTACTGACAATGATCAGTATAACAAACTCATATGGGTTCACAAAAAAACAAAATATGATATATGAGATCCTTCTATTTATGACTCCACCTATCATAAATTATTCACACCTTTAGCACACAATGAAAAAGACATTTTTGTACAAACAATCACAGATTGCTTACTAATTTTATATATGTACTTCAAAAATAGTTTGCCATGAACTTGCAAAATCACATAATACCAGTAAGCAGAAACATACTGCATATTAAGTAAATGAATCTTACAAAGCCCCCTGCTAAATGGTGTCTTTTCTTCCCCAAACAAATCATGCCTTTACAAAAACAAACTATTCTACAAGATATTTGTATCGCCAGTCAAACCCTCTGATTTTTCTTAAAAAAAAAAAAAAAAAAAAATTAATTACCCAATGATAGATGAAAACTACTACACCACAACTAACTTATCGACTGTTTCTGTCACTAGTGGAAGATGCTGCCACACCACATCTGCATCTTTGTATACAGATGCATCAACCTGAAAGTAAAGATGATTATGCGTGTGAATATATCTATACATATATTGAAAGAGACAGACAGACAGACATTATGTGTGTATATATCAGTAATCTGGCAAAATTTATCTTGAACTTATTTTCATTACAAATAACCAATATTTTAATCTATTTTGTTTTCAAGTAACCAATATTTTAATCTATATTGTTTTCTAGTAACTTTTTGCTGTAGTATGAAAGGGAGGGCACTAGTTAAAAGAACCTCTACATATATGCTTAGTAATTAAGGCTACAGGCAACAGTTATGTTTTTTATTTTTCAAAATTCTTTCATATAGCATGACAAATAGGAAAATTTGCATAAATAAATAAAAACTATGAGAGATCCAAGATACTTTAAAAAGAAAACCCAAAATAATTACCCTTAATTTGGAAATTGGGGCTTCTCTTGATGAGGTCTCTCTCAGGATATACGAAGCACCTTTGGGGCTGTATAATCTTGTATCATTTACCCTAACAATAACTTGATCCACACGTAAGTAATGTCGGAAAACCACAAAGAAACCACTTGGCATTACTCGCTGAAATTCAAATTTAGGAGTTAATGGTCAGTTGTATAAAACAAATAAATGTGCTAGACATCAAAGGCATGCATATAGCAATATAGTGAAGTATTGTGGTGAAATGGAAAAAATGGGTTCATTATTAGAAAAAAATGTGTTCACTGTCAGTGCTATAGGACAGTATGGTAGTGAAAAAGGTAAAGTGCGGGAGCAAATAGGGTAAGGTGGGGATTAGAAAAGGGCAGAAGGTCGATTAGATCAAATGGAGGGTATCT